ACGAGTGTTACACCGCCCCTGGTATATATATGGGCACTGCCAGAAAGCTGTGTAGGTGTGTATACACGTGCCCGGGCTTATACATTCAAAGGTGCCCCTCTGAATATCTCGGCGGAGCAGCCTGCGAGTGACGAAACTTGATAATGCCCGATATGTCGGGGCTGAATGTCATTGTTCGGGGGCCGGTCGGTCTTCGAAATGGGAGAGCTTTGGTATGACGTGAAAATTGCCACTACTCTTTCTTCGACCCTATTGTTTTAATGAGTGAAAAAATCCACGAGATTTTACCAAAAGTCTTCCCTCCCGAGTGTATTCACGTGTTGACGCGATTGAGTTGCGCGGTACTTGTAAAATTGTTGCATAAAAAGTTGGGGTAAGCAAATGAAGCTTTTTTTTTAGTGTCACGACTGTTGTTAAGTTATTTTTGAATTCACAAAAAAAAGTACGAGTGCAAATAAGCTTTGAAAGATTTTTTTTTCTTTTTCAATCAAATGAAAATGACTTTTTTGTCTTGAGATTAGAAAAAAGAACTCAATAGGTAAAAGTGTGTTGAGGTGCACGTTATTTTCAACAGGTAACACTTGTTGTCCATCACACTTCTCGCTTACGAATCATTCTAGTTGTATTGTTTAATTCCTAATACTTGCAACGCAAACAAAAAGCTTTAAATGACTTTGCGTACACTTCACGGAAGTAGTTTCAAAATTAAAAATAAACGAAAATTCGGTACTCCGCGGGGAAACTGTTGTATTCACGATGTTTTAGCAGACGCGGGGGTATGTATACACGAACGCGGTACAGGGTCGCTTTAAACGAAGCGTAAGTTCCGCAGTTAACTCAAATTAGAGCCAAAATGCTCGGCCCTTTGAATAAATTGCCACGCGGAGAGTGTGTGCGTTGCGAAGAATCTCGAGAGCTTTTTGTTTCCAAGCGATGGACAACTACTCGTCATGAATTTCCAACGGTCTTGTTGTTCCTTCGACGTTTGAAATAAATTTAACGAAACGTTTGATGCTGCATAATTACCAAAGGATTTCAGTTGTACTTTGCGTTTTTTTTTTTTTTTTTGTTTTTTTTTTCACAACGTGAAAAAATCAATCGTAACGAAAGACACAAACTACATGAGGTAATGAGCGCGTAGCAGCCGTATAGTAAACACAAAGTGGACAAACGAAGGCGGTAAAAGCGAGAAACTCGCAACAGCCAATCGAAAGGCATGAATAACGTAACAAGCTCGTAATGATGATCCAAATGAATTTGAGCATCGCACTTATCAGAAGAAAGAAGGATAAATTGTCCCCGGGCCCGCGTGCACAACCCCCACGTACACCCATGTATAAGCAGAGCAGCGAAACGTCATCCCCCGGCTCGGTTACACGCCATACATCTCACCGTGGCGTCTCATCAATATTTCCCCCGCTCCCAAATAATTCCGCCCCCCCCCCAATCCCTCCCAAGGAGCTGGTATACTTTGTCACTGTAGGCATACGTTAGCCGTGCAATATGTCGTGCGCGTCGTTCGTGGGGTAGGTCAGCGCTGCTCCGACTCGACGTCTCACGGGAAAGACCTTGGGCTGCTTCTTCCGAACAATTTTGGCTGTGCAAGGTTTGACATTGGAAGGGCCGCCTCCGAGTGAAAACGGCACCAGTATCGAATTTCCACCCCATGAAGGAGGCGCGCGTCTCGTATGTGCGTACCTGTAGAGAAAAGCTAATGAGAGGAGGTACGGGAGAACCCGGTATATAATTGCCTTCTCGTCTCCTCTTATTCACCCCTTCGCTAAGGACACAGTCTTTTCCCCTTTTTTTTTTTTTTTTCATCCCTCCCCGCTCGATGTACCTTACCACCGAGTCCATGATCCGCGAACAGCACACGCTCAACCCACCTCTGGTCCAATATATATATATATATATATATATATAGGATTCGAAAGGTACGTACCGAGGCTTAGCTCAAGTCACCCCCTCTTTTGCCTCCCTTTACTCCCCGAAGCGACATGCTAATCTTTGGCGCTTGGCCAACGACAACTGCTCTCCCTTTTTCCTCGCGCATCCACGTGCCGAACATCAACGGGAGTGGGGGAGCCGGAACTCGTGCACTTTGGTATTTATATACATATACTCGGTTGGGGCGGCGGTAATTTGCCCAAAAGGACAGCGTCGCGCGAAAATCCCGGCGACGATCGGTGCGGATATCATTTGACTCGCGCCAATCGAGCCATTTATCGGCGCTACATTAGCTTCGTGCGAATTGAAAACCAAACATTTTTACCATTGGTAAATTTATTACTCGCGCCTCGCGTGATCATTCAATCGCCGAGGGAGTGGGTAAGTCGATCGAATTTCGCGAGATGAAAAGTTTACCCAACAAAGGCCCTCTCGTATACGTGCAGCCTTCGAATGTATAACGTGGCGAGAGCGAGTCGGGGAAAAAGCCAATCAATTCATTAAAAGCTGTTTGTCCGAATTTCGCGAGGCGCCGAATGCACAAATGCACCGTCACGGTGCTCTCTTATACGTATATAAAATGCAATGTGAGGGAGCGCGGTTCTGACCTCTCTCTCTCTCTCTCTCTCTCTCTCTTTATATGTATTATACACGTGTCTGCGCAACGCATGCACACGCGGCTTGATTTCACAGTCCACTTTGTCCCGTCCTTCCGCACCGGTGGCAACAACACCTGTTATTTTATTTTTCTATTCCTCTGGCGCGCTCTTTCCATCCCCGCGTTTTATTACACAAAGAAACGCGCGCCGTCGTCGCGTACGTATGACTGCACAGCCAACCCACACCATCACCGTGGCCATTGACTTTACTTCCATTTCACTCCCACCCCCGCACATGTGTACCGGTATATGTTGGTGTTGTGTAGTCACGTGAGGATACGACATCGATGGCAGCCAGTACAGGTGTCTATATATATACACACACGATGCAGGCATCGCCTTTATGATCCATTTGAAAGTGCGCGTTTCAGGCATCCATCGCTATACGGAGCGCCGTAAAATTATATTCCTGCGCGCGCCGCGATGGATTCAATTTGCCAAGCGTATAACGATTAATTGACAAGTGGTCCCATCCCCTACCCCCCGATCCTCCGTAGTTATATGCGCTGCGAGTGTCGGGGTCGAGTCTCGAAAGCCATTCTCTTTTCGTACTTAGCAAAAACATGGAACTCAATGCCCTTCGAGGAAAAAAAATTTTTGCCGTTGATCCTTGATACACTTTTAATCGCGAGTGCAAGGATAAGGGTGTGGCGAGGGGGTCAAAGGGGGTACTTTTGTTGTTTGCTTTATTCTCCGCGAAGGTGATGGGAATCGTGGAGCTGCGCTTCTTTACGGATTGTTTACGAGGGCGCTTTTACGCGGAGAGTGCGCCAACTCCATAAAAAAACAATCGAGAAGCAGGTGGTGTCTTTCTTCCCCCTCCGTTGGACGTGCACCGGTGGTGCAAGAGAACAACTTACCGGGGAAATGTGTTGGGTCTAATGATTTTTCCGTCCGTTGGAAATGTTCACTTTGGATGAAACTTGAAAAGGCTTTTTTGCAACGCGCAAATATGTCGATGCTTGTAGTGCTTCGTGTTCTCTTGGTGGAGGAAAAAAAACTGTTACAAACGAGTAGGGGTTTCTCGTCAAATCAACCATCGTATCTGACGATGGTTTGACCATTTTTTTTTTTTAATTGATTAGAATCTGTAAATAGGTTATTTACTGACGCTTGTTCTGATCGAATCGATCAACAAAAGGGATATCTCTTTATCATTTGGAACGATTTCTTTTTTAGAGGACCTCCATCATTTTGTCATTGAAAGATTCTCGCAAGTGGTAAATAAAGGCTGTGACCCTTAAAAAACTTAATCTTAAAACTGATACGATTTTTTCTTTGTTCAAGAAATAAGGTTCACAAATACAGATACTGTTTTGCAATTTTAAGCCGATCTTCTCTTTACAAATCGAGCAATAGTACCTACGATGAGACAATAAAAATGTATGAGCATAAAACGTGATGTATTTGTACCCGTATAGCGAATCGTTCGTCTTTTACGAGGGGTTTCTTTTGTTTTACTTTTTTTTTTTTCAGCTGTTTTCCTTGTCAAGTGCAGCGAGGGTGCCATATCGGTCGAGCGTATTACTAAGGTTTTTTTTTTCTTTTTTTTTTCATTATTACGTGGTAAAACAAAGTGAGATTGCTAATTAACCACAAATGAGAAGTAGAAAAAATAAAAGTGCTTCGGTGTTCCTTAGGGTACCGAACAGTATTGCTATTGTTCTGTTGATTGTTGGTACCAATTAAATTAAAAGTAGAAAATACAGACGACGGTGCACACAATAGGTTTTGTTTCTATAAGAATTTGCGTCCACGACGCTACGTAAAAACCATCAATTATCATTTTCAACATTATATATACTGTGTCTGGAAACATAATCTAAGATGCACATCTTCTTTTCCCCCATACATTATAATGGTTCTGCAATTGGTGGAATTAGTCATACAATGTTATTTTACACTGAGCAGCATTAAAACACTACTTTTTTTGGAAAAAGTCTATAAATATTATTCTCTCTGCTTTTCACTTTTATAACTTTATTCCGTCTTTTCCTTTACCTTGGTACGTTATTTTTCCACTGCATGACGCTATTTTTTCTCACCCTTGAAAAAAATAATTTAGCTATTCCCCCCCCCCCGAGATAATGAAGCTGTGAAGAGATTTTCAATCCATTTGGATAAATTTAACGATAGTTGGGTACGGTTAGAATGTATACAGGCGACTAGCCAAAGTCCTGCTTCCTTGATTATCAATATGTTTTTTCACACTTAGAAAAGTGTGCAGAGGGTGTGATGAGGGAGTGTAAATTAGATGTCTATTTCGAAGGCACATCTGCATTGTGGTGCGACTTGAAATGGCCATCAATGGCCAAATGGGGTAAAATGGCTAACCCGCAATTATGATGGCACAAATAAAGAAGAAGAATAAAATGTAAAATAAACATCACTCACCAGAACGTAAACGGCAAAGGGCATGACGACCATGGCGACGAGGAGATCGGCAACCGCGAGGCTGACGATGAAGTAGTTGGTGACGGTCTGCAGGGTCCTCTCCCTCTTGACGGCCAGTATAACGAGCACATTTCCAAATATCGTGAGACACGGCACGACGACAAGTATCAGGGCCCACCAGCTCTTCGAGTCGTCCTTGGCACTCGGCGCCAACGGCCCGCACTCCGTGTAATTGTAGTACCCGAGCGTCTCGTTGGCTCCGCCCGTGCAATTGTACCCGGTCCCCGCGACACTCGAGTTCCCAAAGTCCCCGTCGTAGTACGAGGTCAAGTTCGCGAGGGCGCTAAAGTTCAGCTTGCTTATGTAGCCGTTGAGATCGTCGAACACGAAGAGGTCCGAGATCATGCCGGCCGAGTAGCCGTCCTCCGCCGCCCCGTCCGACAGTAGCAGGGTGTCGTTGCCGCTGCTGTTGTTGGCGCGATCATTGAGCCAGCCGATCCCTGCTGGAGGATCGGGCGGCCGATCGGTCGAATTCCCGAGCAGCAGAGGGTCGACGCCGCTGCTCCCCATCTCACCCTCCCGAGACTGGACTGCCGGGGTGATTAGGCGGCCGGTCGGTCGATGGGTGGCCTGGCGACACCCATCCTTTCTTCGATTTCCCTCCTTCCTCCCTTGACTGACCCCGGCTGGGCCCGATGGCGCTCTTCCTTCCCCGTTTCCACCCTCACCCGTGGCTGTTCCCGGGATTACCGTCCGTCCGTCCTGTGCTTCCGCCCAAGACGGCTGCTTCGATCGATCTTGGACCTGGAACACGCGACAAGGGGCCAATTAGTCGAGTGTGCGACAGCTGATTATACGCTCGTCCCATTGCATCACTCCCCGCCCGTCAATTATTGTCGCGCGGTGGAGTGTTGGACGCGAGATTTGACCGAGCTCGCGGTAGCTTGTGCAAACGTTGAGTCTCTTGAACCGTATATATATATATCGGTGCATGTAAAGATGAAAGTAACAACATTTACCCTTTTTCGGTAACCTGATCGGTGAACATCAACCGGATCAACGAAACGATCGGCAATTTGGTTTTAGGAAGGGTATCGGCGTTTTTGTTGCATCGAAGGCAATTTGAAGGAACAATACCATTTTGAGTTAATGTTCCGTGATCTTTAGATAAAAGTTTAGGTATTTACCACTTGGTTCAAGGGAGAGTCAGTGAGATTGGAACTAATCGTGAGATATTTTCTTTCACAGGTCCATGGTATGGCTAGCAAAAAAAAAACAAACAAAAAAAACCACCACAACTAAAATCATAAACAAAAAGTTGAAAACAACCAATACATGTTATTTTTTTTCGGATATTTCGGGTAAAAAGTTACTTTTAGTTATAAGCAATCGAGCGATTCCATCAGGAACAAGTATGGGAGAAGGCCCCTCAAGAAATAGGTTGAAAGAGAAAAACGGTTGCCTAGATGGTGGCTCGTCATAAATCAAAAGTATACAAAAGTTGCGCTCACCCCCCCCCCCTCCTTTCTGCAAACAGAAATTAACCCATCGTACGGCTCAGCTGTTTACACGGAGCATATACCTACGCAGCAGCGTAAAACTCTTTTCCTCTCTCTCTCTCTGTATGTAAGTATGCTCTCGTGTGCGTGGAACATTCAGCGCTAAACTCCCATTATGTACACCAGTAGAGCAAGTCTGCGAAACAGCTTTAAGTTATACCCATAACTTTTTCCATCCCGATTTATCAACTCTGCCCGCTCCTCCCCCCCCCCTTTTTCCCTTCCTGGCACATGTACAAGTAGATATGTACGTGTTGCACTTGGGTGTGAGAAGAGCTAAAGAGAGAAGTAAAAGAAAGTGAGATCCAGCGCACGGCCCGCAACGTTTGAAATATCGCACCTGGCTAAACAATAATGCCAGGGCATTTACTTTTTTTTTTCCGTGGGCCCAACTGCATAGATACCGCGCTCCACAAAGTATGGAGTTGAAAAAAAAAAAAAAAAAAAAAAAAGTTAAAATTCCGAGAAGTGAGGGGGTGAGCTGCTGGCAGTGCTCAGAATTCGGGGTGGAACTACCTGCACGCGTGGCAGGTTCGGCTTCCGTGTGCCTTCAATTTTTTAGCCCCCCGTGGCTCGCCTACTTTGCTACTGCACATGGTCCCCTCCCTTCTCGGCTGGATTCCCCTTGTGCTCGCGCGAGGAATTCCCGGATTCCCCTGGCCAGCGGGTACATGCAGAAGGTACATGTACCTACACTAAACCTTCCCTGGCGCTCGTTAGCTTTACGGCGCAGCTATTCCGCCTAATATGCCGCGCATCGCAAATTCTTTCCGCACCGGGGTAAGTACATATACATATATTATATGCGTGGCTAGAGCTGGTGCTCCTCGCGAACGAGAAATTAAGTCCATTGAGAATATTATCCGGACCGCTTATCGCGCGATGTATTGCTGTGGTATCGTGTGGTCTCTTTTTTCCCCCTTCCCCGAAAGTTCGAGGGATTCCTGGGCTGCTTCCGAGTATTGTATGAAGTTTTTATCCGCAACGGGGTAGAATTCTTTTATTAAATTTTCACCGAGGGTGAGATTTACGGCTTGAAAAGTTTTTTTTACGGTTCGGCTTTGATTTACGTACTGCACGTGATTGAATGGGACACTTTTCACTTAGCGAGTGTCGTGTCGAAACTCGTGAGAAATATTATATAGCGCCCCTAGAGCGCAAAGTCTCACTTTACGTCCACCGACTACTTTGGGCCCGTGGGTAGAAAAGTACTTTGCGCCCCCAAAGTACTTTAAGTTAAGAAAAAACAGAAAGTTATGATTGGCGCGTACTAGGGGTCAAAGTTTGGCGAGACTAAGAGACATTCAACAACATAATTGTATGATTCGAGTGCGACGAAAATTGGTACAAATTTTCAAGTAATTAGTTCAGAGAATGCGTTGAAGACTTATGCACCCTTGTATTATTCACATACTTACGAGCTGTTCTTAGTAAATAATAATAAATTGAGGTATGATTCGCAAAAAAGGTTGTGCGGAGTACAAGGGTGACCAGGGGCCGAAGCCCCAGATGGGTTGGTATGGTGGGGCAAAGCCCTCCCCCCTACAACAAAACAAACGAAATAATCGTTTTCAAAAATAAATTTATTTCCAGTTTTTTTAAACCATCAACAAGCTCCATTTCATTAAAATTGAAAAAAATTTGTTTGAACATTTATTAGATATTTTAAATCATATGATTTTATACAACCATTACACCGCTTTGAATAACTAAAACTATTGTACTTCAATCGTGTGTGTTATTAAATCTGGTTCTTTAACTGTACGTCATGTTAAAAATAAACTGTCAATCGCCACGCTTGATAGCCTTTTTACAGACTTCTTCTCGAAACTCGTTGAACATAACCTTCAGGGTTTTGTAGAAGAGTGGTAGAAGTGGCAGTTTCGACAGACTGATGGACATCAAATCGTAGGCAACGCCTACATTACTGTAATCGTTGCCACTTTCTTCGGTGTCTGTCAGCAAAGGTAATTTAGCATATCGCTGCGAAAAGTGAGTCAACAGGGTGAAGTTGACTTTAGCCTTTACACCTGTATTTATGGCCTGGGAGATTGTCGAGTGACCTCTAGCAACCGCTTCACTCTCCAAGGCATCCTCCATCGTTGCTTCGTGGATCAGTAGAAAACTATGATGTGCTAACTTTTGCAGTCCGTCGCACGGCATCGAATCACCACTGGAAAAACGAGGTACATGTGAATCAAGTATTGATACTTAAAAATAAATTATATTGTTAAAGAACTTTCTTTATTCAACTGTTGCCCTCTTAAACATATATTATAAATAGTTTATTAACCTGTAGCATATTTTTCGTCCATCCGTAAGAGTTAGTGCAATGGCGTATGCAAACGGACAGTGAACTACGAGTGCCGTACTTATTTCGGAAAGGTTCAAAGCATCTAATACCAATTTTAATTTTGTGGGTGTTAAACTCGAATGATCCAGTAATATATCGCTGTTACATACGAGTTCGCAATTGTCCAAAATTTTATTACATCTAGTACTGTAATAGTGTACAAAAGGCATGAGTTGCTGTGGCATAATTAAAAATATGGGATTGTTTGTGACCATTTTTTTCTCTTCTAAGATTCCGATCAATCCTAAATGGTGATCCGCGTGTAAGTGAGATACGTAGATGGCCTGAAACAATTTAAATTAAGTATAGTGACGAAAATGAGCTGTGTTGTCCAAAAATAAAAATACTTAAAAATGTTTATTATTACATACTTTTAAGGATCTTAAAACTTTATTAGCCTGCGTTTCACCAAGGAGTCTGACAATTTGGTGAAACGTCGATTCTCCGCAGTCCAACAACATACTTCTTTCTTCGTCTATTTCAAATAATATGCCAGTGACGTTTCTAATTTTATTAGGAATACAAGAACCCGTGCCCAACATGTGTATTTTTGGAAATTCTTCAATGTTGTCTCCTAAATCTTTGGTCTTGGCACTTATCTCTGTTTGTAACTCGGCGAGAGAATCAGCAAGTCCATCAATTTTCATCGTATCCTGGTTGTGCACGTTTGGATTGATTTTTATGTTTTTTTCTGTTGTCAAACCTTTCTTTGGCCGCAAATGAAATATATCGAGCGATTTGCAACGCCTAACCTTCAGATTATGTCTTAGCTGTAATTATTATTTGAAAAAACTTTTAATTAGTTGTAGGAGTTACTAAAAATCTATAAGGTTTTAGATGCACTGCCAGAAATTAAAGATGGTTATAAAAATCAAATGAAAATTCACGAATTGGTCTTAAGCTTTTTAGGTCTAGTTTTTTTTTTGTTTTTTCTACAGATCGTTTTTTAAGTTAAGCTTTTTTACCATACATTTTTTTTTTTTTGATTCGGTGAGCGAAATTTTAAAGTATATTGTGGTGCATTCAATGAAAGTCAAAGTATCGAATGTGTCAGCTACATCAGTATAGAGTGTGCGGTAAGAGGGGTACTGCTGTGCAGGGTCATTGGGACTTTTCTCCTCGCTTCTTTGTCACATGACTTCCAACCACCCTTAATTTGTGCACAATCATCCACTACTTTTTTACTTGATCATAATTTAAAATTTAATAATATTCATAAATGTATATTTTATTGTTCATCGATTCAGCGCCAAGCAGCGCGTACGAGATACTTACAAAGCTTGCATCTAAATCTTTTTCTTCTGGTTTTTTTCCTTCAGTTTCATCTGTACTGAACTTATTTTCATGATGAAGTTCTAAATGCATATGCTTCTGCTGATCTTGCAAAAGAGGGAATATTTTGGGATGTATCAAATTAAGTTGGTGCTGCATTTCGTATACAGCTCTGCCAGAGTAACCTGTGTTAAGTTCATTTATAATCAAGTGCGTTGTATCAGGGCCGAATTTTTGCATCCATTCCTTGTACTTTGGGTTGTTGAGCACTTTTTCAGGGGTCAAATGTGCTATACAAGCAATTTTTTCTCCGATTCCAGAATTTTGATACTTTTCGAATGCTTGATTTTTAATCACAAGATCCATCCATTCCTCATCGGGGCACTCTAAAACTTGAGTGCAAAACGAATTGTGAAATTTTCAGAATCAAGAAATTATTTAAAAAATCCATAGTACATGACTAATAAATACCGATAAACAATGGCCCTTCGTCGTTTTCGCCAATTACATCTTTACTGTGGATAACAGTACCGTCAGCAAGTATCACATCTTCACCCGCCTTGAGCTTTCCCATCAATGGTCCAGACGGTACACCCAAATCACGGCACTTTTGCACGTCCAAGTGACCGAGTTTTTTTTCAATCTTGCAAATAAAAATCAAAAGATCGGTAGTTTTACTCTTTGTCTCTGGCTCTTTTTCTTTAACTTTGTTTTCTGGTGAGCATGAAGTCTCGCTGACGCTCCGAGTTTGATTATCATTCAAAGAAATGTTTTCCAACGGTAGATCAGAATACACATCGTCACATTCAATTTCCTTGCGAGACTTTGAAATCAAGACATAGTTGACAGTCAGTATCGGATCTTTATAAGTTTTAGAAACATCCGCCGATTTAAGGGTCAAGTCGTTTAAGGTCATGAAATTTTCGGTCGATTCCATCACACCCATTGATCCTTCAGGACCATGGAGCTGGACTGACGAAACTCCATTGTCTTGGAAGTACAAAGCGACTCCTGGCAGTCCACCTATGTTTCGCCACGTGGGTCTGGTGATGAATATATTTTCGATTTTCGTGAGCTTGACGCGATGCTCGAAAACTAAGCGTTGGATGCCCTCACCACAGTTGAATAGGTAGTTCCGGTGATCGGTGTGCAGAAAAATGGATCTGGTTTCCCCTCGACTCCCGTGACCAAAGATCTGTAATTTGTGGTATGTTAAAAAAATGTAGGAGCTTTTTTTATATCTCCCAAGGTTACTTGAAAGGTAAAAAAAAATGTATTTGTCAAACCTCGTATACTTTAGCGACATACGTTCTTATACTTATTTTTATACATTCAAATCAATAAAAAGCAGCTTTCTAATAATAATATTAATAAATCTTTTATTAGTAATAAAATATATATTTATTAAAAATAATACGTTATAGTTACATTACAACGGTTTTAGCGGAAAAGATCTGAAAGTTTATTCGTTTTGATATTTTCTTTTTATTTTATGTTACATCAGTATTGTTAATGGCATAGTCCAAACGCTGAGAGGGTCTTAGTGGCTATTAGGTACTCTACGAGGTAACTCTTTTTAAAATGTATTTTTTTGCGTAGAATCCGAATTTTTTGGATACCAAACCGGACACCAAACGACTGGTGGTTCTTTATTTGTTGCAATTATTTAAACAATCAAACCAAAAGTCACACGCTATATTGAAGAAAAATTTTGACTGACATTAAATTCTCACTTGATTAATATGCAATATATTTATCAGATGAACGTTAATAAATCTTCAGTACAACGTTCATCGAATATTTTGTGCTGTTAAATATTTTACAAAAAATAAAAATTATGGTTATCAAACAAGTGGCTTTAACTTGCAAAAACCGAATTTTTTTAAACTTTGTACGTTGTTTACGGAAAAGCAGAGGGTTCGTCGAAAAAAATAACAAGGGAATTTTTCTGCTTAAAATTAAACAAAGAGTGGTACGCATTTTTTCAAACAATATGTGCAACGTTTGGTTAATTTTTTTAAAAACTGCCATTGATAAAAAACCGATAGTTCGATGAAAAAAATTTCCTTAATTACAATGAACGTTTTAATGTAATGATTGTTACACACGGGACTAAAAAAATTTTTTTTTTTAAATTATAAAATTCCGTGTCTGTTAATTTAACATTCTATTGGGAGAATTATTATTTTATAAGAATATTTCGTATACATTGTCTCTCAACTTACAAGAACTATTTCATTTATTAATAAAAACATTAATCATCACATGACATGAACATTTATATATGTATACACCTGATCAAAACATTTTTTTCACGGTAATGATACATGTAACTTTTAAAACCCTAAGTATGTATTATAAATCTGAGCAGCGCGGGCAATTTCAAAATCGATAACGATTCTTCGATTCTCTAAAACTATTCTCGAATAAGAATGATTCGATTCTTAAAAATAATCGATTCCACTACAAGCAGAATTATCCTCATACTTCGACGACTTCCTATAGTTCCTATGCTTACGTATTAGTAACGTGGCATAAAATACGAATAGTTCTTGTGAAAATATATTTTCAAGTTGTTATTTGTTGTGATTCCTAGTCAGTTCATAGACAATCTCGAAAATTTATTTCCATTTAATTTTATACGTATGTAAAACTTTAAGAACTAATGACACAACATATTGTCATTATAGGCCTATATAGCATCAATTCTTTAATTTAACAAGGTGATTATTGAAACTATTCTAGTTTTATGCCATTTTTATTTATCTGTACTCAAATAGAAATCGTTAATTCTTTATAAATCATAAATTTTTTCAAGTACTTACGAGTTTTTTAGGCACTCAACTCTTTAAACTTCTACACTTGGATTGTTTAAATAATTACCTGAATATAAGCATAAGTATGCGTATAGTTGACGGGGCGTGTCTTGCTGTTTTGGGGTTGCTTTTGGACCTCTTGGACGTGTAACTTTACATCTTCAGACATGGTAATGCTTAAAGTATACGAAAAATAATCACTGTATTCGTTGGTTCTGAAATAACACAGTATTTCTTCGCACAGTTGCCGTACTTGTACACTGATACACGAGTGATGAAAAATCGTTATCGCATTAACTTAAATATTTCTCACTTATTTTACAACTGTCATCAATATCTGTTTACACGTCAGAACGACATCGAGCGGGTTTGTTTATACTCCATATGCACGTGGTTTACTAGAAAAACTAGCAGACGACACGCAGCTTCTTCATAAGGTGTGTTCATACATTATATATAGTCAATGGAGTAGTCGTCGCTATTGGCTCAAGTTTTGAAATTCTTACTAGTCCAGGCTATAATCCAGAAATTTTTTGCTTGATCTTGTGCAAATTATCTCCTACAAACAAATGTACATGTTGCCAGGTCTAAAAGTTGATCCTAAGTTGTTAGAACAATTTTTTTTAACTAATTTCGAAAGTGCATATACGCCGTAGTTAAAATATACTATATCTGGCGAGAGTTGAAGGGATGACGGAAATGACAGAAACTTTTGGTATTGCAAATAAGTAAATTTAAAAAAAATCCAATGTGACAATAGAGTGTTGATTGGTTACGGACTATGTCACTCGCGTTTGCTGCGTTGAGAAATTCCCATGAGGTGTAATGAGCGAAAAATCGTGGAATGAACTGTAAGCTGTTGTTGATAACATGACACTCTCATTGGTCATATATATATATATTTATGCCCAGATAGAGCAAGACTATGAGCGAACCACAAAGTTACTCTTTCATTCTGCTATTTTCGCAGCGAGCCATCGAAAGAGGCAAAAACTTATATCTAATCGCAAGTAATTAATGCACAGAGTCCTCGAAAGTTCCGGAAACATCTGCCTCTAATGACTCGCAGGGGGCGAACAACAAACTTCTTAAGAATACCGACGACGAAAGAAATGACATCAGTTTTTGTTGAAAAAAATAAAATAAAAAAACAAAATAATAACATGAATGCTCTTTATAAAATCATCAAACTCGCACTCTGCTCATCCGTACTGGCTTTATAACATTCCAGGAGATCTAGGACGCAACAAACTTCTGGCTAACACCTCTAATCTCCAGCCGGAAAGATGCAAGTGAGGGGGACGGGAGTGTATATATGGCATAGGAATCTTCCGCCACGGCTCCTTAACTTTTCGAAATCACATCAAATGGCAAGTCGTTAAAACTTAACAGCCGAACTAGCACGTGGGTGCCATTAGCCAAAGGAGAAAGATATGCCGTTGAGAGGGAGGGGGTGATGTCAAAACCACTTTATATTACATAATTCACTCGTCCGGCGCAACGTGCGAAAATTTAAGGGCAAAAAGTTTGAAGCCTCGACGCGCCCGATGCGACGGTAAAAAGTGCAACTCCTCTTTCCCACTCCTCCCGCCGGACTTGGGAGTTTCTCCAAGTTGACGGCCCACCTCGCCCCACTTCCTCTTGCTCGTCACGATTTCCACCTCGTTATATGCGTGCGTATACACACCCACAGAGACGAGGCCGCGTTATATTATACCACTGATGCACCCACGCACACACGATAGGGTATTCGATCGTCCTATGATTATCAGGCGCCACGGTCAACTTAGCAATTCAAATGGCAAATTCTCCCGGCGCGGGTTACAACACCCTTGACTCGAACCGAATTTGCCACTCGTGTGTTGCACGCGGAACACGTGCGGGTGGAGTACGAGGTACGGTCTGCGAAGGTTGGCTGCTCGAAAAATATGCCACGGGCAAGATATTGGACGGGCCCGCATAACTTTCCCTTCGGCGTGGCTGGACTGGGGAGGAGCTGACCGGAAAATCGAGTTTGAATAGGTTTTTTTTTTTTTTTTTTTTTATCTTCCTCCTTTGATGCGTGCAGGGTACGGGCTCGCTACCGCTGGGACCACCGATGAAAGCTTTTTAAGCGATTGTTTGACGCCGCGGAAAGTTTGGCCGGCTCCTCCCAGCGGAGTTTGGAAATTTCACGGGGGCGCGTTACGCCAAGATAAAAGGGTGTTGTTGAAAGGGGTGTTTAGTGCAGAAGAGGAGCCAGGTGGGTTGTTGGGCGAATGATCAGGTGACTCGATGTATACGGTGCGAGAGTTTTTTACGGTTGCTGGGGGAAAAAAAAAAAGTTGGGTGGTTAATAAGAAAAATCTGTCGAAAGTTCTCGCGTTGGACGGTAAAGTTGCAGTTACCATCAAGGAGTTGTACAGGATTGAGAATTTTTAAGGTCAGTTATTTTTCCAAAATAAGTGCTTAGTTGTCGTTACACTATACTATTGCCAAAGTCTCATTTGGGGCCCAAAGATAGGTAGATAACTTTTTTTGTTCACAAAATATTCCACAACAAAAAATTAAAATATTTCGAATTAACGTATAGTTAAGAAATTACCAAATGTGTTAAAATATCAAAGGTGGCCGATCGGTGTATTTACTTCAGTTTTTCTTTGAAGAAATATCTGCGCTCGAAACTGTGATGATTTAATTGACCTACTTATGAAAAATAAGTTATTATCTCGCCGGACATTCAATTGAGAATAAGTTTTTTTCTAAAATAAAACTTGAGTTTCCATTGTTATATTGACTTCAAATCACTTTTTATATTTTTCCAGATGCATAAGTTTCTTTTAGTACAAATCAGTAGTGATTAAAATATATTTATTTTGTTAACGATTTTTCTCAACATATTTTTAATATAATATTTTAATTATTCCATGTCATAATACTTTGTTATTTTTCATCAACTGATAATTAATTTTGACGCGAGTAATGCCCGAGAACCAATTTTTCAGAAAGTATTAATCAACGCTCTGACTGAAAATTATTTATTTCTCACTAATGTCACAAAGACAAACAAAGTACAATAAATTTTTTATAATGATCGTTATGGCTGTGTGTAACATTTAATTTTTAAATAAATTTTATTGCAGTGATTCCCATTTCTCCTTTGTTTCGTATTTTAATCAACGTTTTGCGTTTGTGGTGTAAAACGCTATATGCCTCGAATCACATGCCTTTTTGAACATGTTCAAATTATATTCTAATTATGAATGACTGTAATTAACGCTGAAATTAAATTTTCTGTTTTTAAATTAACTATACTTTCTTCAGGGTATTAAAAATGTTTTTTTTAATGTCTGCCAAGCTCGTTCGTGATGAAATAAATAAATTAAACATATATTTTATGACAATTGTGTGGTTTTTTTTCCGCGCTAAAATTATCTTCTATTGTGAAAACTTTGTCAAATAATCGTCTTTTGCAGGCAAGTAACTGCTTTAGCTACTGATATCAGTTAAAAGTAATGTTAATATTTATTCAAGTGGCAAAAAAACAATAGTATACATTATTGAAAAAAATATTAAATTGCATTTATAATATTAACACAATCATCAATTATGTATACGCTCAGTGGGCAGTGATTCTTATAATAAAGATGTGGACTCAGCTTTTACAACCTTCGCTGTACGATTTCCTTGGATCCCTTTTATCGATCCAGAATTTTTTAAAGAAAAGCATATTCTTTGCTGCTTGATGGGAACATTCACCAGTAAAAGACAGAAACCCTAAAGAGCTGAAAAAACTGGTATTTACTACACGGCTTCGTTGAATATTTACCATTACCATAGGTATAAAATTAATCCAGCGGAAATACGAGTGACGTCCGAGTGATGGAAAAAAACTCGACCCGCTGGAGATACGTACCCTACAGGAACTCTGTAATGCATGTATCGTCCATTAATTACTTCAAAAACTTTTGTATGATATTAAAATTTTTTGGATTATATTGAAGTACGTCAAATACGATTGTCTCTCGTAGTTTGTAGGGCCTAAGATAAGCTGTCAAACCGATAAACGCGAGCTTCCAGCAAAACTAAAGATCAATACTATTTTCGAAACTTTGTTTAAGATCCAAAATCTGTTGGTAAATACAGAAACGGAACGAAAGACAATAAAAGCACAGTCTTGTGGATGAACGCCAAGCAGCGTTAAACGTATAACTCTGAAATACCTTTTCTCTTCATTTGGACGGCACAGCACGAGACCCGAGGGATGATACAAAGCTTCTGATATTAGAAATCTTGCGAACTTGGCTTGCGCACAAAACAGCAAAATCAGAAAATTGATGCGGGGGTAGGGGGGGGACGTACCTACTTATACACGTTGATTTAGTTATTTCGTGGATTCAGACGTGAGAAAATACAATCGGACGTTTTGTTACAGCAATGAAGGAAAAAACTCTCATAACCCAAAGTCGTTTCGTTAATCATTGTATATTTTCAGTAGCGTTACGTTTACTCCCAAGACTTTGTATCTTTGCACCAACGAAACAAGTGCTGAGTCTCCAAAGAGAAAGATTTTTCTTGAGGTAATTACCATTTTTTCAAGTATAGCAAAATAAGCATGATTAAAACTCGATACATTACCCTGCATTTCCTAAAGGAAAAAAAAAAAAAAAAAAAAACGAATTATAACAAAGAGATCCGCATTTATTTTTCCACTATGAAATACCACCTATGAAGAGCGGCTTGTCAATTAAAATCCAACAGCGCGTGCGATCCCTTCCGCGCTAACTATCCTTTGTCCCATCAAACGGATGGATGTGAAAACCCTCCAAGGTTCTTGTCCGAATAGCCCTGTTTTTTCGACTCCAATCGGTAACGAAAGGAAGAAAAAAGGAATCGACGAGCGAGCGAAAGAGAAAAAAAATGGACCGAGTGATGTGTTTAGCCGGGGGTTAATTGAAACGCAGTGATGATAGAAAAATGGCACTATATACTCACGCGTTGGAGCCTCTCTGTCCAGACCCTTTCCTTTATCTCGAGAGCTCCGCTAATTTGGCGCTCGATCGATCCATCATCGTCACCGACAAGGTCCCTAAACTCCTCGTACGGACACCACAGCCATTTCACCTCGATGGGAGGAAGTACGAGTTGGTTTATTTATTTATTTTTTTTTTTTTTTTGCACCCCCCAAAC